TTAGAAAATGATAGAATCTCTGTCCTATCAGCTTGTGAGTTTGGAAAAATTATCTAGTCAAACTGTGTAAAACATTTACAGTCATATAGAGGTTCTATGATGTTTAATTGAGATAGCTCATGAGAAGTGCTTACACAGAATCTGCAGACACTAAGAACTCAGGAAATACGCTTTTGCATCACCAATATTACTGCATTATTTCTGTTATTATGTATCCCTCCCTTTGTGTGCTTTTTATTGAGAAGAATCAAAGTACTGGTTAGGGTGAAGATTTCAGGTCCATAAAGAGACCTAGAACTTATATTCTACCAACACTACAAATATTTCCTGAACTTTTGCAAAGTACCCAGCTTGGCCACCACCCTGATTCAAGTAGGTGTGTTTCTGGGTTCTTATAAAGGAGAAGATAAACCCATAGAAGAATAAGGAAGGCTCTTACAAACTGGACAAAACTAGGATACAAGTCCCAAGGGAATGAAATGTAAACACCTGGAGGGGTCAAGCACTGAAATGAACATCAGGGTCAGAGTCACATTCATTTCTATCCATCCAACACGACAAACCTCAAGGTCATTGTTATTATACAAGCCTGGGATCTCCGAAACCCTAACAGCTACAGAAAGTTACCCAGTCACTGATAAGCATACATTATACAAAAGATGAATGTGTATGTGTGTGTGTACATGCATATGTGTGCATGCCTGTGTGTGTCTGTGTTCATCAAAAAGAAGAATAGCATACAGAAAGAAGGTGTTTACCTTGTCCTTACCCAACATGAACTAGAGGTTGGTTAGAAGGGAAAGTCTAGCAGTAAACCAGAAGTCCAAATGCAGCTTAGTTGGCACAGTGAAACTAACTTGCAAATATGCTGGGCAAAGGCAATCAGTGCTTCCATCTGAAAGCCTGGCTCCCAGATTGCTCATCACTGCTCATAAAGGGACTGAAGGCAGCTGCAAGGTTCAGCTGACAGAGTTCTCCAAGAGTCCCCGAATTGTTTCCATATCATTTCCTGACTGCTTTGGCCAATTATCTATCTGGTTGCCACAGGCAGTGGTTCCTTGTGATGTCAGAATCATCCTGCCAGAAATGTGAACTATGCCTTTAATCCCAGGACTTGGGGGTGGGGTAGAAGCAACAAAACCTCTTTTGAGTTCAGGGTCAACCTAATCTACATAGAGAGTTCCACTTCAGCAAGGACTATGTAGTGAAATCCTGTCTCAAATGAGGAAAAGCTCGGGCCGTGGGGAGAAGTTCCCTACCACAGAGGTACTCAACCTTTCTAGCATCTCAAGTTTACCTCTGCACTTACTTTCTATGATCTACACCCAGAACCCAGACACAGAGAACAGAGCCACCCATGATGGGCTATGTCCTCCTGCCTCGATCAAATAATCTAGATAATCCCCCACGCACGCACACACACACAGACACATCCATAGACAAACCTGCTCTAGACAATTCTTCATGCAGACTCTTCCGTAGTGATTTTAGGCTGTTTCAGGTTAATGTTTAAAACTAACCACTCCACCTTCATAAGTAGGTCTGCCATATTTCTAACGTTTCCTTAAGACCCCATGAGGCTGCATCTACAGTGTGTTCTTTCTTCCCAAGACCATCAGGGTGGGGCCTCCAGGCAATGTATAAGAATTCCATGAAATTTCAACTTCAATTTAAATCTATAAGAAGATGTGGGAATGTGTGATAGCTAAAAAGAAAGGTCCTCACGTTTCAAATTACAAAGATATTGATTTGTTTTGTTTTGTTTTGTTTTGTTTTGTTTTTCAAGACAGGGTTTCTCTGTGTAGCCCTGGCTGTTGTGAAACTCACTCTGTAAACCAGGCTGGCCTTGAACTCAGAAATCCACCTGCCTCTGCCTCCCAAGTGCCGGGATTAAAGACTTGTGCCACCACTCCCTGGCAATGCTGGATTTTTAAAATCTGATTTCTGTCTAACTTTCCAGCATTGGAAACGCTCATGGACTTTTAAGACAGTGAGAGGGCGGGAAAGTGAGTGTTGACCAATCAAAAAAAATGGAAAGGAAAAAGAAGAAAACAGGAGAAAGTACAGTGAGCAGAGACCTGCCCCTGAGCCAAACAGCTTTGAAATGAGAACCAAAACAAGAACAGACAGGGAACTAAAACAAGAACCATTAGTGCTTTCAAAGTCTGCACTGTTTCCTCTAGGAAGAGAACTTGATCCAGGCTGTTCTCTCCTGCAGGATCCTGTTCTCCATTCTCTGGTCAAAAATTGTCAAGTTTAGGCAAAGATAGTATTTAAGGAAAACGTATTTCCCATTACATTTAAAGGTTGTTTTTTGTTGGTTTTGTTTTTTTGGTTTTTTGGTTTTTTGTTTTGTTTTGTTTTTGTTTTTTGTTTTTCAAGACAGGGTTTCTCCGTGTAGCCCTAGCTGTCCTGGAACTCACCCTATAGACCAGGCTAGCCTCGAACTCAGAAATCCGCCTGCCTCTGCCTCCCAAGTGCTGGGATTAAAGGCGTGCACCACCATCGCCCGGCTACATTTAAAGTTTAAAAAAACAACAAACAAATAAGCTCCCCATCTTCCAGACTCCCTTGAAAACACAAATGTTTTGAACCAATGCAGGAATTGACAAGGTCTGTACTTGTTGGTCAGGGTATCAAGTAGTCTAGAAAGATGTGATTCACCATGAGAAGTAGGGCCTCTCTTTCCAGACAACTGTGGGTTTAGAGGTCATTTGGTATGCCATGTGCCTATGGTGCGCGATGCTATTTTTTTTTTCTAGTCTGCTTCTGTATTTTGTTTTGACCTGTCTTAGTAGATCAAAACTTCAGTATTCTGATGAATGTAACCACATATTTAAGAGGTTTGAGATCTTAATGTTAAGTAATCTGACTCAATTCTCGAATATCTATTTGATTGTTTCAATGCTCTGAAGTTGGCCTTGTGTATTTTGTCCATTATCATCTCTGTCTTCTTATGTTGATCATAGACATGATTAAGTCTTTATCTAAAAACCGTAATACCTCTGTCATCTGTGGGTTTGTTATCTCTTTATTCTAGTAATTTTTTTCCTGTTTCATAGCATACATTAAAATTTTAAAATTTAACACTAAATAATATGGCTGTTATGAGGCAATGAATAATATCTTTCTCATAAAAATGGAGATTTTCTTCTGACAATCAGAAAATAAGTACTTGTGACAACTTCAATTCCCAGTTTCCTAGGACGTGGTCCCTACACCTAGAACTTGCAAACTCGGTCTGCACTGACAGCTTGTGGTTATGTACCAATATCCTCTCCCTCAGTAGTACTGGGAGTCCTTTGTCCTTTCCCAACACCATGTGACTGCAAAAACCTCAGATGAGCCTTTTGACGGTCCAGAAAATGGTCTGTGTCTGTGCTGGATTTCTTGAGGTTTCTTGACTTAAGAAATCTGCCTACGTGCATTGCCTCATGCTAGTAAAAGTGGAGAAGGGAGTGTGAAATCTGGAGAGTCAAAAGCTAGGGTGCAATGCCTTATTAGGAAAGATACAGGATGCAATCGGAAGATGAGAACCACAGAGTGCATTGTTCAGCAACTGCTTCATCCACTTTCCGTCTGGATCTACGTCTTTGCACATCCTTCCTAGAAAGCCAGTTTCTCCATACAGGCAAGAAGAGCAGAGGTCATACTGCAGAGTCCTAGCTACAATTCTGGGGTGGCAAGTACAGTCCCATGCCCTCCTTGCAACAATGGCAGCAGTGACTCTTAGTTCCTGTGTAAGATGCTATCTGTACAGTAGGTACCCATTTCGAAAGTGTCTAAGACCCTGAAGACTTTGCATACTCTTTGTATCTTTGTTTCTATATTTAACTAGAAGAACTGCCAACTTTTTATAATCAGGCAGGAGATGGATTAATTTGGGGGAGTTGCTTGAATGTGAATCCCTGAGTTCTTCATCATTCATTTAGTGAATCCATGTCTTAAACTCATTGATTCAGAGTGAGCCATGAGGATTATTGTTAGTATTCTGTCTAAACTCCATCTCCACAGTTATCTGGCAACAGCCAGGTATGCTCCTCCCCACAGTTACTTGGCAACAGCCAGGTAGGCCTGCCCACTATAAAAGGAGCTGCTTGGCCCCTCCTCTCTCTCTTACCCTCTTACCCTCTTACTCTCTTACCCTCTTGCTCTCTTGCTCTCTTGACTCCAGTTTCTCTCTACCCCCTTCCCCTCCCTTTCCCCATCGCTCCACGTGGTCATGGCCGGCCTCTACTTCTCTACCTCTACCTCCTGGTACCATTTAGGCCAGAAGTCATGGTGCATGCCTGTAACTGAAGCATTCCAGACGCAGAGGGAACCAAACTCGGCTCTCTAGAAAGGTCTCAAAGTTAGAGTCGGCTATGGAAGAAGGCCTCAAAAAGCAGCGAAAAGAACTACTCCCAACCCAGGTCATGTAATTTCACAAATTTTATAGGACAGATGCCTTATCTCTTGATCTAAAAAAAAAAATGAACGAGACTAAAATGTGAAAATATTTGGTTTTGCTGATTATGTCCAATGAATTTACAGTCCCTGCAAAGTCAGGATCATTTCAGCCTGAGAGAGTTCCTGAATTTTTACAAGCACCCCCACCACCTCCTTGTGTGTGTGTGTGTTACATATATGTGTGCATGCACATTCTCTCATGTGTATGTATACATAAGAAGAACAGGTTGATCTCAAGCTTCTTCCTCAGTTAGCTCTCCACCATATTTTACGGGACTCAGAGCTTGACACTGCAGCGAGAATAGTTCCCTGCACACCCAGGAATCTGCTTGTCTCTGCCCACGCAGGGCTGGGTAACAAACTGGCACTATCAAGCCTGGCTTTTAAACAGCCTACTGGGGATCCGAACCGGGTTCTCACACTCGCTCTAGCAGCAAGCACTTTACCATGACCACAACCCACCCACACCCACCCACACCCACCCACACCCACCCCCTCTCAAGCTCCCACCCCGACCCCTGTAAGCCCAGCCCCGATGCTTTCTTTCTTACCTTGCCTTATCAGAGCAGGAAACCACACCCATCCGCTCCGTCCTCCTCCTCCCACCTGAAACCCAAGTTTACAATGTTACTTTCAAAATCAGACAGGCAGCTGTTAAATATTTCTAAGTTCTTTTGTGAGAAGTACAAATTCAACCTTGTGTTTTTTAATTATTATTTTAAAATAAGATTTAAATATTAGCCCACAGATCAAATGAGTGCACAGTTAAAGGGGAACGAGACACTAGCGCCAGTGAACTTTCTGCTTGCTTTGCTTTCAGTTTGATGTTCTCCATGTCCTCGGGTGTTTGTCCACGTTGACAGAACACGGACTCTGTATCATTTAACCCTTTCATCTTCTGGTTCAATTCTGGATTCTCTCATTTCTTTGAGGACTACAACCTACCTTCCGGACACTGCACAATACAAGGTTCAATCTTGTAGTGTGCTCAGTGAAGGAACTCCACTGATTTCATGTATGTGTAAACACGTCAGACAAAAAGACAAGCTACTGGAGCCTGGACTGTGTGGTGCGTTATAAACAGGAAGAGAAACTTTGTCTTGGAAACAGAGTGGAGAAGGAGAGCCAGCCCTGGAAAACTGTCCTCTGACCACCACATGCACACCTTGACTTTCATACACAGCCCCAACTGAGGAGGACAGTGATGATGATGATGGTGATGGTAATGGTGGTGGTGATGGTGATGGTGGTGATGATGATGGTAATTTTTTAATTTTTTTAAAGTATAAAAGGCAAGCAACTTACCTAAATGATTCCACTAGTGCTAAGAGCAGTGTGGCAGTCTTTACTTACATATAACTTGTACTGTTATTATCTGGGGTGAAAGAAACTAGATCTGATGAAGGTGGCTTTAATCTAAAGTATGACACGGTTCTGTGTGTTAGAGGAAAGAAATTTCATATCCAAGATAAATTCTGTGTATGCCAATTCCTACTACCAGGGACATGGAGAAAATATAAACAACCTCAAGCTGGGCCTAACAAGTTCTGGGAACTAAAAATACCTCATGACATCTCTTGAGACAAACTCCACCGTTCTGAGTCACTGGTCTCCTATCTCAGTTTTATATTTAACCATCAAATGGCATTCCAGGGATGAGATGACATCATTGCCGCCTGTGATGAGGTGATGTCATTGCTGCTGTCCCACTAGGGCGTGTCAGTTGCCTCCACTTGTGTCACAATTGCTACGTAACCTTATATGTAAATTTGGGATATTCTGAAAAGTTGTGGAGGGCACTAAAAATTGATAATCAAGTAAATGAGATACTGCTGTAGCTTGTATTATGCTTCTTATGAACAACACAACTAAGGTGTGTGTGTGTGTGTGTGTGTGTGTGTGGTCTGTGTGTATGTTTCTCTGTGTGTACATATGTCTGTGTGTCTGTGTGTGTATGCATGTGTATGTGTCTGCCTCTGTGTGTGTTGTATGTGTAGTACATGCACATTTATGTGTGGATGTATGTTGTCTGTGTACGTGCAGAGACCAGTACAGAACACCCCAAGTCGTCTGTCGCCCTCTGCTTTATGCTTTGAGACATGGTCTCACCCTATACTGAAAGCCTTTCCTTTGAACAGACTGAGACATGCAATCTGAGGTCAGGCGACCTGATCTCAGATCCTCGTATTCATAGACTCAGTCTCCTACTCACTGAACCACGTCTGACGATTCGTGTTTTCAAAACAACTTTTTGGTTTTTTAACAAATCAGCATATATTCCCATTTCAAAAATAATGATCTATTACTTATTTTGTTCTGGATGTATTAGAAAACATTTTGTTAGTTGAGTAAACCATCAGTTCACTATTAGTTTAAACTCAATGAGTACTGTATCTTCATTAACATGAATATTTTAATTTGATTTTTAAACTTATGTCTCTACTGTATCAATAATAAGGTAGGAACATTTATATGGGTTTGAAGAAAGGAGTGTGTTCATTATTAACTGGTGAAACTTCTTCCAAGTAAGTTTAACGATTAAAAAATGTGATTTTATTATCTAGTTAAACAAAAATGCACAATCCACTGTGGCAACGACTGTTCCTGAGTTTGGGCTTTCTGTTTTATACTTTCCTAACACTATAATTTACTATAAATGATAATAAATCTCTTGTGCCAAGCGCTACGTTTTGTTGTTTGCTTGAAGAATCATGTGCTCATTCACCTACTGGTTTATCAAAAACACTAAGTAGGTATTTAGATTTTCAGAAAAATTCGTGCTTTGCTCATCTTGACATACATAGGCCCTGACAAATGCAAAGAGACCACCACATTGTCACTACTTTATACCAAGTGTCACGATCTCTGGGAAGCCAATGAACTGGGGGTATGTAGAGGTCTAGAAAGAGCACCAGGGTCCGTGCTCATCTGTTGTGTGGTGTTTTCTCCACAGCGCTGACCCTGTGTCTGTGAAAGGGAAGCAGCCTCGTGAGGCTGCGTGAAAGAATCACACAGAGCCTGTGCAGCCACTCTTGCGTGGGTCACCCGAGTGTCAGCCACTACAAGCAGAGTGCCTCTAAAGTTTTGAGATAAGAAAGGTTTTCAATTGGGAAATTTCTTGATTTAGAATGTTTCCATTTCTCTTTTTATGTGCACAATAGGCAAGCTGCCTTTCAGAAATTGTAAGTAGTGTTCTTGATAACCTTGTGCATGAACTGCTTTCATGGTATGGAATTTTCCACTTGATCCTATCATGTCAGTGTTTAAAGATTTCAGGTTTGGCAGGACGCTGGACTTGTGATTTTTTTCACATCAGAGATGCTCAACCTGCATCCTCACACAAATGAAGATGACTCTTGTAGCTTTCAGGGAGGCCGATGTTGTGGCCACATCTGAGTTCCTCCGGATGTGATGGTCAAAGGGAAACATGAGTGTCTATATTACACAAGGAAGCCAGACACCAAGGGCAAGCAACTGTTTCCTGGAGCTTACAGCGCTGCTGGGAAAGTTGTGGGATGTGTGGAAAGACTGGTGGTCAGAAGGCTCTCAGGAGTCTGCGCCCTGAGACCCACCTACCTTGTATACTCTGAAGTGAGTGGTTTCATGTTTGCGCTGAGCTGAATGATCTCCAAGGTCCCTGCGGTCTGCTGTCTTCACACACGGTGCATATTGCAAGGGGTTCTGCAAAACAAAACACTCAATAGAAACCAAAAATCTGCCATTAAAAACAAGTACTCACACAGTAGAAATAGCTTAAAACAATAATATGTATTCTGACTTAAATTTCCAGGGTATTTTTACTTCCTTTTTCATGATCTTTTGTCTCCAAGCTGCTATAATTCTGGGTGATTTTTTTTCTACTTAATTTTCTGCCTGTTCAAGTGCCTATTGGTCTGTTCACAGACAAGGGCTTTGACAATCATTATTGACAATGCATTTGCTCTATTGATACCCAGAACATGCTCATCAAGTGGCATCAATACACACAGCACAGAAGTTCTAGGGCTAGTGGGAGGAGCAACTCAGTTTCTGCCCTTGTTGGGTTCCAAGTAGTGAGGCATAAAGACCAATGTCATCTGGCTACAGAAAAGCTGTGAGAAGATAAGCCTAGAGGCCACAGAAAGAGAGTGCATGAGAGCTGAAGAACAGATCAGGGTGACCAGCCTGACTATCAGCATAGAGATAGGAGGGAGATTTCAGTAGAAATCGCCATCAGATAAACAGTCTCCGCATTAGGGTGTTAATGGATGCACCTTTTATTGAGAAGAAGAATGGACAGATCTGTGGGACACTGAAAACTTGAAATATTATGCTTTGCTCTCCTAGACAGACCATATCACTTGACAAATATAGACACATCGGCACATTCTCATAACTTTAGAAAAGGTACCATAGTGTTCAATAAATCTATGACTCAGACGTGAGAGACCTGGTAAGAACTGGTGTCACATCATCCTTATGATGCGATCTCCACAGCCCCCACAGCTGAATGTGAATGTTCTCAGTACTTTATAACTTTTGGACACACATTGAATGCAGAACATCACAGCAGGAGCTGTAAAGAGCCATACAGAATATGACGTCTTCCCTCAGGAACATATATTGATTCAATATGTATTTGTTATGCTTTGTATCTTAACACGACGTTAGAAATAAATTGCACAGAACATTGTGAATTATCTTTATTATTCAGAGGTACACATGAATAAATTCCTAGCTTCCCATTTTGTACTTTGAAATGGGTTTAGCAATCTGAGAGAATTTCACACTGAAATATTTTTACTCCTAAAGTTTGATGACCCTGACATCTAATTTTTAAAAATTCCATCAGCCTGCTAGCCAGTCACACAACTTTCCTTAAATGTGTACTAGTGATATTTTAGACCTAGTCACTTTAGTAAGTGACAGCTTGAGTTACATAAGCACTGTATTCTCTAGTGTTTGGAGAAGCACAAACTTACCAGATATGAACATGAAGTCCCCCAGACAATTTATTTAATACAGTCAATAAACACAAAATACTTACTTCCAGACTGATAAGCAGTATTGTAAAACACCATAGTTCCTAAGACCTATAAGTATGTGTTCTTAGCTAAATATAGAATATTCGTAGAATCATGTAAGGTTCAAGCTAGTTCCCAAACTTTATATAAGGAATGCACTGAGTGGTAGATTTGTTTATACTCAATGCTATGTGAGATGAAAAGTTATTCATAACTTCTCAGAAATCAGCTTCCAAGAAATACCTTAAATTATTTAAAAACTTTTTCAAAGGTCAATGATTTCCCAGGAAGCTCCCCTGTGGTCTTTCATATCTTGAAACTGAAATCCCCTTACCTGATCCCCTCCAAATCTTCAGAACTTTCAGGAAGGTTTTGCCTCATAACCATCTTTTATATATTCCACTCTGTTTAAAAAATAATGAAAGGCTGTGAAGTTATGCTTCATCCTAATGCCATGCAGGAATTTTTTTTATATCAGAATATCACAAATATTCACGTGAATGAAAAATGGTACACATTGGCAAATTCTGGATCTGACTGAATGGCTTGTACTACAAAATGAGACAATAGTTTTTACAAATGGGAGAGTATATGAAAACACATATACACAGAAACACACACAGACACACACAGACATGGACACAGGTACAGACACACACACACACACACACACACACACACACACACACACACACACACTGGAGAACTGCCCAGCCAGCCACTAAGAGTAACTAGATTCTGCCATTTGGAAGAAAATGGATAATAAAGATAATCATATTAAGCTAAATAAGCCAGACTCATACAAATAATGTGATGTTTCTCTCACATGAAGAATCTAGACTCATTATGACTGCTTAGAAAGAAGAGGGGACCATTCAGAGAGGATGAGATGGTGAGATGTCTCGAAAAAAAAAAAAAGAATGTGAGGACGAAAGAGAAGTGGGTTTTGTTGAAGAGGTCCCTTCTATGTGAAAGAGTATGCATATGTCCATGGGTCAAGAAACAGCATCTAATATGGAAAGATGAATTAAGAAACTCTAAAAAGAAGTAACAAGCATCATTTCACAGCAGGATGTCAGATCTGAAGTACAAGATGTCTGTTTGAATTCTGTCTGCATCAACAGGAAATTCTCCAAGGAAAGGAACTTTTCATTTTGATTGCTTAAAGTGTATTTATTTATTCATCAAGAAGTTTCACTGAGAAACACTGACCTGGAAGTTGGTATGTAGAACAGGCTGGCTTCCGGGTCAAAAAGATGTGGGTGCCCCTGCCCCTCCCCCCCACCTCTGCTCTTCCCACTGAGTCTGCACCTCCCCTACCCCTCCTCTGCTCCGTCCACTGCCTCTGCCCCTCCCACTGTCCCTACCTCTGCCCCTGCAATGCTAGGTTTAAACAGGTATGCCGCCACTATGGCCAGCTGAGTGTTTTTCATTGTAATACTCCCGTATGGAAACCTTTAAAGAACTGAATGATAACAGCTGCGGAGTGTACAAAGCAGCCGAAGATCCCGCCATCCATCCCAGCACCAAAGCCGGAACTGTTTGCATCTCCTGGTCTCATTCGAAGGAAGCACTAAAACATGAGGATGGCTTGAAGAAAAAAAAATGTTGGGAGGCCAAATGCCAAAGTGCCTAATAATAGATTGCTGACGAAAACTATTGAGTCTTAGAGAAGGAACTCCAACCATGCGCTCATGAGAAAAGGGAGGAGCAAGAGACCAGTCTCAAGTCCAAGAACTGATGGAAAAGGGAAGCAAGAAGGGAGAGGATGGGGCAACATAGGCTAAGAGGGATAGACCAGTTCTGACTGGATTAGAGGGAGCTGGCAACAGCAACCTCGAAGTGAGTTTGAAAGGCTAGCTGTTCTTGTGGTTACCTGGCAAGGGAAGGTGGAGTCTGGATGTGAGAAATGGAACCAGCAGGAAAGACTGACCTGATACTGCTGTGGTTACAGATGCTGGGAATCTCCAGACCCTCCAGCTTCTTGCTGGGGACAAGGTGACAGCTTGAAGACCTGAAATCCAGAGAGCCACGACGCAGCTCTCTGGCAGAAAAACTCACGATGGCATCTTATGGCATGAAAGTCTGGAATCCACGGCAAAAGAGATCCACACTCTCACTCCAGCATCAGGCAGAGGAAGGCTAACCTCAGCTTCCCAGTCTTCTGATGCGAAGCGGGTTACAGGGCTCCCAACTATATTGGGGTGAGCTTACTGTTTTACTCAATCCTGTAGCACACATGCTAATCTTTTATGGAGACACTCTCACGGACACTCCCCAAAATACTCTGTACTCAGTTGGGCAGCCCATGCCCCAGTACCCACTGTCAGTTGCTACGGAGGGTGAACTGGGACACCTTTAACAAGTCAGTAAAGCCATAATACCACAAGTGTGCTGCCAACAGAGAAGACGCACAGGGAAACAGTGTGAGGAAGAGGGGCTTCAGAATACGGCTTCTTCGAACCCCACAGAACTTAGCATCTGGAACAGGAATGGCTGTGTCTATGGTGCTGACCTGGGCTCATGTAGGACTTTGCAGAGAAGCAGAGAGGCTGGAAGAAGGCTGGGTGATGGTCATTTCCCACAGTGAGGGGCTCTGGGTGCTCTAATCAAACTGGCCACTGGTTAAGATTTTCTGTCCCTAGCGTGTTTACGTTTTATTTCCTTCGAAAAGGGAAAGGGAGTGATCACAGATTTTTTTTGCTACCATTAACATAAAACTATGTTTAATTAAATATTAAATAAGCTCAGAGATGGGAATTAGGCCATAGCTTTTGTAATTGTTAAAGACAATTCCAATATGCGAAGGCTGTTGCAAGCTTTGTTTGCACAATCCTCTCTCTTTTGGAATTGCCCTGTACAGCTTCCAGGCACCAGGTTAAATGACTATGCACAGGGTGTCATCCATTGTGAGGGTGTGACTACATCACCGTTAGATTCCAACTATGCTGAACCGTGTGTTACACAGATGAGTACTTTCTCTTTCTCTCCTTTTGAATCCATGATTGCAGTGCAAAACTTAGAAATGTATACTTTCTCCTTCACAGCCACACGTGCAAATGCACACACATACCACCTGCACATGCACATTATACAAGCATACACAAGTATGCACCCACACATGAACACATACACAACACACATTCACGAATATACACATACAACACATACACGTTCTCCATGTTGCACAGAGATATTCTCTGTTGTGTTTATAAAAAGATAAAGAGAGAAGGAGTATGTTCTATGGGTGTGTGGCTCAGAGGTATGGGGGAAGGGGATGTCTCTGTCTCAGAGGGCCCATGCAGAGGCATCTCTTCCCCATGAGGGACCAGACACATGAAGGTATAGCATAGAATAGAGTTTATTCAGGGCATGGGGAGGGGAGCCAGGAGGGTAGTAGAGGCAGAGAGAGAGAGAGAGAGAGAGAGAGCGCTCAGAGGAGTAGAGGCCGGCCATGACCACGTGGAGAGAGGGGGAAGGGAAGTGGAGAGGGGGCAGAGAGAAGCTACAAGCAAGAGATCAAGAGATTAAGAGAGAGAGGGAAGAGAGAGAGGAGGGGCAAGCAGCCCCTTTAATAGTGGGCAGGTCTACCTGGCTGTTGCCAGGTAACTGTGGAGGTGGAGTTTAGACAGAATACT